CCCATAAAATTCATCAAAAAAAGAAATCATATTAAATCAATAAAATCAACATTAATTTTTTTTTTCTTTATTGTCTTGTGTCTCTTTGTAAAATTTTCTTTTATAATTATTATTTATTAGATTATTATCAGGATTATTATTATTATTGTTTTACAATTTTTTATTGTTTTTGTTTTGTGCCTAATTCCATAAAAATCATTGTAGTTCAATTTTTTTTGATATAACCATAAAGATTTTGATTTGTTTTTAAAAGCGTTAGAATTTGACTTTTATTTTATTATAATAATACTTAAGAACGAAAAACAAAATTTAATAAAGTTGGTTCTCAGTAGTGACAGATTATTGGTCTATGTTTTAATAAAATCATCAACTCTTTTTTTATCAACAAATTTATAGAAAAAAATAAAATTTTAGTTGCCTCATTGTTAAATTAGTACCCATTCTACACGTTTCATGTCTTATTATCTCATATTTAAAATTAATGTCAAAGATATCTATTAATAATACAAATTAATCAAATGATAAAAAATAATAAAATAATAAAAAAAGGACGATATATTAATATTAAAAACAATATTATAATATACTTGTGAAAGATAGTTGTCCATGCTTACATTAAAACCGCACCTGTTCCATCCTTTCAATCAGACATCGTAAGACACTACAAGAAATGTTAGCAATAGCAGCGACGCCAAGCAATAGCGGCAACATGTAATTGACGCGTTACATGTCGCCACTATTGTTTGGCGTCGCCGCTAAACGTGTCGCCGCTATTGCTAACACAGTGGCGATCCGCGTGAAATAATCCCCGTCCGCTCGATCATTATTCAATCATACGGTTGTAAACTCCTAAAACACGCGCTTCTTCTGAAGCCAGCGGTCTAACACCAAAGGATACACAAAATTGTTTTGAAAAAATATTGGGTGTTCGACGTGGCCATATCAGAGGCATCAGGCGAAAACCTTCTATGGTTGTGTCGATGTACGATCAGGAACAGCCACCACCACAATCACAGGTGACAAGACTATTTAATTTTGGTAATTGTTTAAAATGTTGGTAATTGTTGGTTTAGTAATAGTTTCAAAATTTGGTAATTGTTAGTTTGATAATAGTTTATATATTGATAATTGTTAGTTTGGTTATAGTTTGATATATTGGTATTTTATAGCTTGGTAATTGTTAGTTTATGAAAGTACAATGCTGTAATGGTATTTTGTAGGTTGGTAATTATTAGTTATAGTACAATGCTATAATGTTTTATATGCAATATGTGGAATGTATATTTTGTATATAGAATGTTATAATGCTAGTTTAACTTATAAGACTATGTTGTTTTATTTGTAGTTGGAAATGCTTCAAACAATGTTAAAAGATCCGGCATGTAGTGCTGCACTTGAAGATTGGTTTCGTTCGTTGCCACAACGAAATGAAACTGGAGGGAACGAGGAGAGCGATGATGACGAGTAGATAGTTGTAGGATTTTTTTATGTTTTGTTTGTGCAAGTATTTTAGACTAGTATTTTCGATATTTTGTTATATGTTAAATCGGACGAGTATTTTAAACGGATGTTGTATTAATATTTTGGAATGGAATGATGTAGGATTAGATTAATTAATATCATACCAGTTTTTTTTTCAATTTTAATGTGAAATATATATATATATATATATATATATATATATATATATATATATATATATATATATATATATATATATATAGAGAGAGAGAGAGAGAGAGAGAGAGAGAGAGAGTTAGGTTCAAATGTTTTTACTATCTATTGTGTGCTTGTAGGATTGATTCTGGACCAATCATTTTAATTATTTTAAGAAAGTAATTAATGCATATTAAATGCTGAAAGTTTAATTAATGCTCATTCTATCTTTAACATGTAATATGCATTAATTACTTTCTTAAAATAACTAAAATGATTGGTCCAGAATCAATCTTAAATGCACACACACACACACACACACATATATATATATATATATATATATATATATATATATATATATATATATATATATATATATATAAAAGAAAAACACCAATACCGGCGACGCCTTTAATGGCGACAATAGGTTATTACCAACGACAGGTCTTTAGCGGCGACATGAGCTTATTAGCGGCGACAGGTCTTAGCGACGATAATCGTGTTGGCTTCGCCGATAAGATCTCACGTGCGGATGAAATCTATAGCTACTCTTGATGCCATGAACTTCATCGGTAGAAGTTAAGTGCTAACAATGTGGAATAATTGAATTTCGTTCCCGACTATCTCCTCCACTACAAATTGTTTCTTGTGCTTGAGTTCGTAATATTCTCGTCGTATCTCTGAAACAAATCCGTTATTTAAAGTACTCCGACTTCAGAGGTAATTACTCTTTTTTTCTTAATTCTTTCTTATTTGATATTCTGCGTGTAGCTCTTCGTGGACACCAACTGTTCGATGTAATGTCTGATGGTTGATACAGTGTACTTCTAATGAAGTCTTTTCACCATAATGGGGAAGCTATGTAGGTTTCTACACTCGTAAAGTACCTAAAGCACTACAATTATATCCCTGATACATAATTAATTAGGCTATTATCGTGTCAAATTCAAAACTGTAAAAGCTGAAAGAAGATTCAGTTCCCCACTTCAACAAACTTGATCCCAAATTTTAGTGTTGGTTTAAGTTTGTAAGTTCTAGAGAAGTGGGAAAGATACAGATGAGCGTTTTGGGGCTTTAGAGCATAACAATAGGAAAAAATAGAAGGTTTATTTTTTAAATGATTCATACGATTGGATTTAACACAAGACTGATTTCAAATTGAATATTCTTAATCAAGTCACATTATCACAAATACCACTTGTTACTCCCATTTGAGGAAAAAGAGTTGTTCATAACGACAGTTACTTTCAAAACGAACTTGCAAGTCGTTTTCAATTTGTTCGTTTTCAATTTAACAAATGAGAAATATGGATCTATAGAAAAAAGAAATTGAAACCAAATTTTCATTTTTATCCCTTCTATTTTGGTTAATGTTTCATAGTTTATATTTCTTATTTAACAAATTATATTTTTTATTAATATTTCAAAACATTTAATAATATTCATTATTAGTCTTGTTGTAAATATATTCATGAGATCATTTTAATTATATGACTTTTATAATTAAATAATAATTTTCTATTTGTTAGTTTTCAAAATTAATAAAGTTTTATGGGTTTAAGATATAAATTGTAATATTACATTTCGTTTATTAGATTGATTTTTTTGAAACGACAAACTATCCTACTCCTAATCTAATCTTAAACACCACCTATGTCTCCTAGTGAGACTTGAACCCGTAACCTTTTATTTGAAAGTGTAACTCCTTACCGCTAGGCCAATGACCCTTTGGTATTATAATGATACACATATTTTGACGATTGACATGATGATTAAACATTATAATGGAACCATATCAACATGAAGATTCAACATTATAATGAAACCTTTATCAACATTTGGTGATAAGGTTTCAACAATAAAAAAATTGAAAAACTAAAGATATAATATATATTATTATTATAAGTTTAAATGCGTAAACATAACTGACAAGCTACCCATACATTATAATGGAACTCTTATCAACATTTGACGATAGTAATAGCTTCATAAATCAGTGCATACTTGATGGGATGCGCTAACAACACACCACGTAAATCTGAACGAAATTTGATGTCAAGTATAGATAAACATAAAGAGTTTAATTGTTTGTTGTTATGTTTAATAATACGCTAAACGATCGTAAACAAAGAAACATAAACAAACAAATATAAACAGTCATAAATGAATATAGATACGTACAAGTGGTTAAAATGTTAAATAAATGTTATTAGAAAAATGACTTAAAAGGGTAATACATTTTAGATTGTATTATGTTTATTTTTATTTACATTTAGTCATTTTTGTTTTTTTCTTTTTGTACATATTTAATCACTTATGTTTTTTATTTTGTGAACATATTACTGTTACACTTAATGATCATATCTATACAAAATAAAAATAAAAACATAAGTTGCTAAATGTATAGAAAAAAACATAAATAACTAAATATATATAAAAAATAGATATAAGTGATTAAATACGTATACAATTTAAATTATGTTATTCTTTTAAAACATGATACGGTTACTAGAAACTAGTTAGAAATGTTATAAATTGGCCAGTAATTAAAATGTAATCTTAAAATAATAAAATATATCATTAACATTTAGTGAAAAATAAATTTTATAAAAAATAAATTTGAATTTACAGTAATACTAAAAATAGAAAATTATTAACATATATTTTTTAATTATGTTTTTTAAGATTATTAGCATATTTTTTATATACACATTTCAAATAAACTTATCCACATTTAGAAGGAAAAAAAATATAAGGGTGTGTTTTCTAACTTACATAAAGAAACAAAATGAAAAAATATAAATACGAGAACCCTTATTTATGTTCCGGGTCGTATTTAATCGGGGTATGCAAAACATACCCTTGAAAAACAATTAGGATATGTTTGGCGTACTAGCTGTGAGCTGAAAAGCTAGCTGATAGCTGAAAAGCTAGCTGTTAAATAAAAAGCTAGCTTATAGCTGAAAAACTAGCTGATAAAAAATAATGTTTGATAAAACTAGCTGAAATATATAAAATTACATAAAAATGCATTTAAAAGAATATGTTTCTATAATTAATTAAGAGGTATATTTGGAAAATTTTAAAAAAGCTCTTAAAAAACTAGTCTGAGTAGTTTTTTAAAACATTAGTTTATAAACTAAATTTTAACTTCGACAACTTAAAAAACTCGAAATAAGCTAGCTTAGCTAGCTGTGCTCGCCAACACAGGCTTAAACAAAGTGTCTCCATTCAGTGAAAAGTGAACCTTATTCTATCGATACCATCCTTTCAATCAGCAACGTATGAGACACTAAAACCACCGACCACCGACCACCGGTAATCGTGTTGTCTTCTTCGCGATGTGGAAGTCTGTATGTACCTAACTCTTGACGCCATCAACTTCATCGGTAACAGTTAATGATAAGAATGTGGAATAATTGAATTTCCTTCCCGGCTATCTCCTCCACTACCATTGTTTCTTGTGCTTGAGTAGTTGAGTTCGTATCACTCTATCCATTATTTGAAGTACTCCGATTTCAGAGGTATTTTCTCTTTTTTTTTTTCTTAATTCATTCTTATTTGATATTCTGAGCATAACTTTTCATGGACACCAACTGTTCGTTGTAATGTCTGTCTTGATGGCTGATTCAATGTATTTCTAATCAAATATTCTCACCATAATGGGAAGCTATGTAGGTTTCAACACTCGTAAAGTACCTAAAGCACTGCTATTTTATCCCCTATACATAATTGGTTAGATTATTATTTAGTCAAATCCCAAAACTGTAAATGCTGAAACACGATTCATTTCCCCACTTCAACTAACTTAATCCCAAATTTTAGTTTTGGTTTAAGACAAGAATGATTTCAAATTGAAGATTTTTAATCGAGTCACAAATATCACCTTGTTACTCCCATTTGAGGAAAAAGATTTCTCTAAATCAACATGTTTTGCAAAATCATGTATTTAATATGAACTAAATTGTAGCTAATCCGTGTTTGCAATATACATGTCTTTGAAACCAGGGTACATGAATATCAGATGGCCACGTGTACTAACACCAACATACCTATCTCAGATCATCCAGAACCAGAAAAACCCATTGAAAGCCCTCCAAATCTTTAACCAAGCAAAAAACAAATACCCAAATTATCATCACAATGGCCCTGTATATGCCACCATGATCAACAAGCTCATCATCACAGATCGAATACTTGATATGAAACAAGTGATTAACCAGATGAAACACGATTCATGTGAGTGTCAAGATTCAGTTTTTTCAGATGCAATCAAAGCCTACGCGAAATCCGGAATGCTAAATGAAGCCATCTCTCTCTTTAAAAATCTCCATCACTTCAACTGTGTAAACTGGACACAATCTTTCAACACCATATTGGAGATAATGGTGAAAGAGTCCAAATTCGAATCTGCTCATCATCTTTTCTTGGAGAATTTCAGCAAATGGGAAGTGAAATCAAGAACCCGTTCACTAACTTGGCTAATTGATGTTCTCTGTGAAAACAAACGTTCCGATCTTGCCCTTCAAGTCTTCCAAGAAATGAATCATCAGTACTGTTATCCAACCAGGGACACCTATCAAATCCTAATGACAGGATTATGTGAAGATGGAAGAATTAATGAAGCAATTCACTTGTTATACTCTATGTTCTGGCGAATTTCCAAAAAGGGTAGTGGTGAAGATGTTTTAGTGTATAAAATCCTGTTAGATACTTTATGTTCATATGGGCATGTTGAGGAGGCTGCAGATATTTTAAATAAGGTCCTTAGGAAAGGTCTTAAAGCCCCTAAAAAGAAACGTATGCCACTTGATTTCAATCAGTGTAGAAATGGTAGAGACATAGAAAAAGCAAAAAGTCTAATGAGTGATGCCCTTATCAAGGGGGTGATTCCTAGTTATGAGAGCTATAACACAATGATTGTTGACCTTTATTCAAAAGGTGATCTAAATCTTGCAGAAAAAGTGGTTCAAGAAATGGATGACAATGGATTTACACCAGGGGTATTAGTTTATGAAGCTAAAGTGATGGCTTTATGTAGGGCAAATAAGGTTGATGAGGCTGAAAAGGTGATTGCAAACTGTGTTCCAACTGTTCATTTATATAACAGTTTGATTAAAGGTCTTTGTAATGAAAAAAGATCTGTAGAGGCTCTTAGGTATTTCAAGAAGATGTGTAGGCAATTGGGGTGTGTTCCAAATAAGGAGACTTATTGCATATTGGTAGATGGATTATGTCATGATGGGAGTTATATTGAAGCAAGTGAAGTTTTGGAGAAAATGTTGGTGAAGTCTTATTGGCCAAATAGTGATACTTTTAGTATGCTTATAAAGGGTCTTTGCTTGATGGGAAGATCATATGAAGCAATTATATGGGTGGAAGAGATGATTACCCAAGAAAAGATCCCTCATGTTTCCACATGGAGTTCTCTGGTTGCTTCTGTTATATATGATACAGTGGTTTTTTCTGAAATATTGGAGCCTTGAGAAATTTATGTATAGTTAAAAAAAAATTGTTGTTTTTGAATGAGATTGACTATTTCATGTAACCGATATTATGCTTAGGCTTAATTTGTTAACTTCATAAGCATATCATGCTTAGGGAAAATTGAATTGAGACACTAAGAAATTGAGGGCCTTTTGGCCATACTATCTAAAGAAGAGAAAATGACATTTTTTCACAGAATAGCCAAAAATCAGAAAAATAACCTTAATAATAGCTATAATTTTTGCATTTAATTGTAACTATAAAAATTCTCCCACGTTTATTAATTATTTCTTTTAATTTTACATTTTATATGTAGTTTATCGGTTAGTTTTAACCTAACGTTATTTCTAGTCAGCCAAACACAGTCTTATACTTTTTTCTATTTCTATCATTATCTTATAATAATTTAGTAAAGGATAAATGTAATTTTGAATCAAAAAGGAACTTGTTAAATTTTTGACAAAGATAAAAAAGTGTTAGGAACATTTATCATGGCTGTTTTAAGAATACAACGTTTTCTTCTTTTGGTAACGACATAAAAAACTTTATCACCGATTTAAAAGGTTTTGTTATTTTGCTCTTGAAACCGTTTTATGTATTTAAGCAATGATGTATATTTGCATTACATTGTATGTTTAAACAAAGAACTAACTTATATATGATAATTTAGTAAATCCATTGATTGTCTGCAACTATGAATAAGTCGTAAGAACTTCTTTTGGATAAGAAAATTTTAGTTGAAGATTATAGTTGTGAAGAATACATTTACAAAGTCTTTTTATGATTTTTTTGCCAAGTTTGCATGGCATATGGGAATTTGCATTCTTAACAAACCTAATTCCAATAACACAATTTGGAAAAGTAAAATATATATTAGAGGAACTGGTGTCACTTTTGTCACATCATTTTTGTTGTCACCTAAACGTCATTTAGGAGTTGTCATGCTTTTTCAAAACTTTGCCATTAGATGACGTGGTTCGCCATCACTTTTGTCACGTTTTTTTAATTAAAACTAATTTATATAAAAATTTAAACAAAATGATTTTTATAAAAACTAAAGTTTCATTAACTTGAAAGAAGAATTGCAAGACAATTAAAAAAAGAAAGAAAATCGGTATTAAAAAATATGAAACATAGATAAACCCACATATTATATTTTTTGCAATCTCGTCTTTGTCCTTTAACGCCAATTCTCTTACGCGTCCGGTAAGGTTACTAGTATTTTTTTCAGTAAGTTTACCATGTCATGAGATTTTTCTTCTTTTTTGCGACACTCAAATATTGCTCCAAAGTAGTCTTTAAAGTTGTCTATTTTGTTTTTCATTTGTTCGAGTCACTCGAACTACTTGCGACCCTTTATCCTTTCGTTTTGCTTGGTCTCTTCCCATGGAATGATTAGTTATTCGAACCTCAATATGATCATCTTTGTTGAGGTCAATTCTAATATGCATATCATACGATTGGTTATGAGTGGTTCCGGATGTTTTGGTTCTTTTAGAAGAACCTCTCGTGAATGATTCTGAAGTTTGGATATCTTCCACTTCTTCGACGTCTTCATAATATTCCAAAAATGAAGAAATTTGAAAGGTGCCCCCTTATCGTTCCGGTAAAGTGTTAGAGTTTTTTGCAATATAGTTTCATCGTTTTCACCACTTTGCCAATGTCGCGTCACACTCGCAAATATCGCGTTAACTTCATGACAACTTTATTGGTGTTCCTCCATTTCGAGTAAATTTTATTTTATTTTTTTAGTCTCCAAACTTCATTTCCGACAGAAAACGTCTAGTAACTTTCCGATAAAAAGTTGGTGCATGTTGGTTGTTCTCGACCTTTGGGTCTTCCGAAACATTTACCCACGCACGAGGCAACGACACTTCTTCCACCCGGTGTCCAATTCTTGGAAGGTGCTTTCCTTTTTTTTGGGTCCCAGTTGACGTAGAATCTCTTACGGCTCGAAATCCGTTCCGGGTATGACTTCGGGTTGAGAGTGAGTTTCGAATTGGGTTTGGGATTGGAATTGGAATTGCAAGTCGAGAAGATTGTCAAATGGGTTGAACTCATTTTCCGGTTCGAATTGTGCTTGAGATTGAAATATAAACTGGGGTTGGGATTGAGATTGAGATTGGAATTGTGGTTGGTTATGAATAGAATATGTAGTTTAGTATGCACCAGGATAATAATAATTAGAAGATGAATAAATAGGCCGATCACTTCAATTTTGGACGAAGGTAGGTGATGAATGTGAGTTTCAAATTGGGTATTTTTCTTGCTTGTTCTTGAAGTTTTTGAGTTAGATGGAGAAGTCATTTTTTCATAAAATATAGACTGTTTGTGTGAAAAGTTGAGGGTTGTTGTGTATTGTAAAATAAGGTAGTTGTTGGTATTTATAAAGGTTGTAAAAAGATTAAAATTTTGAATTAAAAAAAAAACGGTAACTTTTGAAAAAAAAAACGGCATATTTTTAAAATTTGAAAATTTTAATATTTCTCTCTCAATTGGTAATGACCAGCCGCGTTCGAGACGCAATGTTTGCTGAGTGCAACTTGGATTTGTTGAGGGGGTACCGAGACAACAATGTGCAACCTAAAGGGTCCACAAAGTCCACGATGGGAAGTGGGGGTATCCATTTCGCAGTGCAACCATGAACCATAAAATTGGATATAAAACAATATCGTTTGCCCCTACATTACGTACGCCACGCGTACTCCCACGTACACCCTGCATACGTGGGTGAATCTGTAATCCATCGATGAGCTAGTACGCTAAGCGTACTCATAGAGTACGCCCTACGTACTAGCAAGGGACTAAAAATGATAGAAAATTTTACAATAAGGGTTAAAATAAACATAGCAATAATCTCGAATGTTACATAATCAAATTTGAAAGGTTTTCAAGTTTATATTTTATTTTTTTAACACCTACATGTTGAATGGTATGGATGGTAATCGGTTTAATAGATGCAAGTTTAATCGGATTCCCTCGTCGGTAGATGGTTAGGAGATTTGTTAATTGAAGGGTATTTGTGGCAATTCAGGAAAAGAAAGAAGGAAATGTACTTTTGTTGGTTTTGGAATTGGTTGGGACATGTTTCCAACTCACATTAAAAAAAGTTGTTGTCTTAATGAGATGTAAAAATTAGATGATATGAAACTCGTCTATATCATCTAATAATAACTAAAATACTATTTTTTTTAAAAGTATGATGCTATTTAGAATACATGTAAAAGTTTCATTTTTTTGTTCAGTAGTGTAACGCCCCGTTCCTGGTATGCATTTAAAACATTATTTTTATTTTTAGTTTAGAAGCTACTCGACGAGTCAGTGGCCCTAACTCGTCGAGTAGCAGCGAGTTAGCACGTGGAGTAGGCGTGGCGACTCGACGAGTCCATATTTCCAGACTCGGCGAGTCCGCCAGTCTGGATGAAGCCCTAATTTTAGGGAGTGTACCATATTTAAACACCATTATAGCCTCAAACCAGCCTCCTTCACCTCTCAGAGACTTATTCCCGAAACCCTAGCCTCCTTAAAGTGTGTGTGAGTGATTTTTTTGCCCTTGTGAAGGAATCTTGGTGCATTGTTGAGCAAGAAGAAGAAGGAGAAGGTAGAAGAACTCAAGGAAGAAGAAGTAGATCCAGATTATACTCCTCTTTGGCCATCCTTTCTGGTAATAAAGCTTTCATCTTGGTTATTGTATTGCTAGATCTAGTTTGTCCCTAAATTGATGGTTTTGAGCTCAAAAACCCCAAATCCCTAGTGATGAAGCTTTGTAATCAAGCCATATCTCGGATCTAGCCCCTCTTGAGTTCCAGGAGCTCAAGAAGGCCACCTTTTGGCAGCCATGGCCTTGTTCTAGACAAGTAACCCCCATTATAGCCAAGTTTGAGTGTTATTGCTTCATTGCATCATGGATACACGTAAAGTTAGCAACTTTACGTGTTCAGATTGTCCCAGAAACCCAGATCTATGAATTGGATGCACTGAAACTGATTAGAATCGGCTGAATAGAAACTGCATGCAAAGGACTCGACGAGTCGTTCTTCGGACTCGGCGAGTCCGGTCACGAGTCTTAGATTCCCTGTTCAGTAGTAGCGAGTCCGTTAGTGAGTGGAGTAAAGACTCAGTGAGTTAAGACATGGATCTGAGTGTAGAGGGACTCGGCGAGTCTACGCCCTGACTCGGCGAGTCCAAGGCAATCTCCTTACCCGTAAGAACAGACTCGACGAGTTGTTCATACAACTCGGCGAGTCACAGACTGGACGTGTTCATATGATGAAGGAGGACTCGACGAGTTGTTCATACAACTCGGTGAGTCAGATAAAGGTTGACTTGATGTTATTATAGAAGGAGAACTCGTCGAGTCTTCGCTAAACTCGACGAGTAGAGTCGGGAAGGGGAGTAGAAGGAAAGATAGGGACTCGACGAGTTGGCGGCCCAACTCGGCGAGTCAGGTCAACGGACCGTTGAATTTGACCAGGGGGTAAAATAGTCATTCTACCCTAAGATTAGTTATCAGTGTCTGATTAAGTGTCTTTTGGGAATTGTAGCCGGGGAGTTACCGGAGCAGCAGTCAGACAGTTCCCGAGCAGCATTTCAGCAGCCAGCCTTAGGAGGTGAGTTTCCTTCCAGTAGAAACGGGTCGACGGCCACAATGTCGGCCCGTCTAGTTAGCAGTAGTTCCATACTACAGTCCGATGCAGTAGTTCAGTATGCTTGGTGTCTTTGTGATACAGGCATGGTGTGTGTTATGTGTTCCGGACTATAGTCCGATGCAGTATGCAGTATATGTGTTCATATTATATGTTATGATTATGTTATGCTATGTTCGGTCAGTTCCGGACTTCGGTCCGATGCAGTTCCGGACTTCGGTTCGATGCAGTGGGCAAGGCCCTAGTCAGTTCCGGACTTCGGTCCGATGCAGTGGGCAAGGCCCTAGTCAGTTCCAGACTTCGGTCCGATGCAGTGGGCGAGGCCCAATATGTGTTTTATATGTTATTGGATGGTATGTGGTAGTTTGGGGGAGCTCACTAAGCTTCGTGCTTACAGTTTCAGTTTTGGTTTTAGGTACTTCAGCTAGCAAAG